CCATTTGTGGAGACAGGCAGGTCCTGCCCTGTCTTTCAGGGGGCCCTTACCATCCCAGGAGAGACGAGGGGCCCGAGGGGCCTCCGATACTTTGCCCTCTAGCCTGGTGACCCCCTTCCCTGCCTCAGAGGGCCCAGCTGGGGTCCAGCCTGAGCACAGTAAACAATTATCCCTCAAAAATGTCACACATGAAGAATGACAATTTCCATTTGGGGTGCATTCACCATGTACAATACTGCTCAATATCATCATTTATTTAATATTCACAGTGATTCTCAAAAGTAGTGATCATTGGAATCCCCAATGAAATAAAAGAGAAAACCAAGATTCAGAATAAGTTAAGTCACTTGCTCAAGGTCACACAATTAGAACTATGGATGTCCCCAGAACCTTCTGGTGCTGGTACTCACCTGAGATGTCTGCTCAGTGTCTGCACACCTGGTGGGCTTGAGTTGGCCAACCAGGGTCAGAAGCTGGGCCTGTTTCTGAGTCCTTTGCTCATCTGAAGGCTGCTGGGACATTGGCCAGTATGGTTTCCCAGGCCAGGTGCTCATGGAGTGCTACGCGGCTCTGATATCCGAATGGGGATGTTTCACATCTGCCATCAGTAGTGAACATCATTCCCCGATTGCCAAGAAAACCTTGCAAAAGCAGAGCTCATGTTCCTCACTGTAGATTTTTCTTTCTTGATTTCCATCTTGCTCCTTTGAGGTTTACTCCTGTTCACCAGCTAGTCAGTGACAGTACTGACAAATCAGGTGGACAAATAACAAGCAAACGAGTATGAACAGAAAAACTTGGAGGTGTGTTTTTAATATAGTGTGTGTTTTATCTTAGGAAACAGAAAACTTGCTAGATTGGAAATAGGCATATTATGTCTGCTTGTGATGCTGTTCTGGTTTGCGATGATAAAGTTAAAGCTCTCTCTGCTTATTAGTGACCATAACTTGGAGGTGTTCTGCCTACTAGACACGGCAAAACTAAAGGCTGTTCAAAACCAGACTGGGCATAACTAGGTAATTCTAATAAAAATGGTTAATATTAACTATACTGCTTACCACATTCTAGCACTTTTGATACATTTTTATTTCTAAAAGATTTATTTATTTATGCACACAGAACTGGGGTATAGGCCAGAGGTGCAGGGTGGTGAGAGGAGTCACCAAAGACAGAGTGGGGAGCAGAATAGGCCTCCACTGAAACACACTGCTGAGGGGAGCAGTGAGGAGACAGGCGAGGTCTGCTGTGCCCTGTGGGTCACTCCCTGTGCTGCCTCAGAGTGCTGGACTCTAACCCCTTGAGCCTCCAGAGAGTCTCTGATACACTTTTAATATTTAAACTTTACACAGAGCCATAGGTAGATATTATTATACCCATTTTGCCAGACACAGAATTGCTTGGGGAGCTTGAGAAGCTTGCCAGGACCACACAGCTCCATGGCAGTGGAGAGGGACATTGAAGGAGCCCAGTCTGACTCCAGGGTAGTGGGTTTTTTCCCTCCAGACTGAGAGCAAGAAGAGGGGAGAGAAGGAGGGAGACCCCAAGTCCTTAGTCCTGTGTCTTTTTGCGGTGTTGCTCACGTCTGTCTTACCGGGGGGCCAGCCCCTCTCTCGTCCGGGGCTGGCGTGGGTGTCGGTAGGAGGGTCACAGGCTCAGGCTTCCCGAGGGGCTCAGCTGCCCCTGGGTTCTATGTGCCTCGCAGGGCTGAGATTCAAACAAGCCAGAGTGGAATAAAGGCTTGAAGGTTTTTACTAGCGGACCTGGAGTAGGGAGACACATCTCATAGCCCGCCGCGGCCTCGGCACAGCCCTCCACCCCTGCCAGCAGGAACCTCCAGCCCTGCTGCCTCTGGGCCAGGCAGAGTGACTCCGAAGTCCTCTCAGCTGCCCCCACCGGGGCCCACTTCCACTCTTGCCAGCCTTGTTCACCTCCCAGTGACCCCCAGGGAGCCAACCCCCTCAGGACCCAGTTCCTCGCATCTGCCTGGTGAGGCCCTGGAAGAAGAGTCTCCAGACAGCAGCACCTCTTGGGCTTATATAACCAGAATTGAGCGCTGGGTGCCGGTCCCCAAGAATCCCTACTCTGCCTTCCCTCATCCGCTCCGAGGGAGCAACAGCTGGAGTCACGTGGACGAGCATTCAGAAGGCAGCCACAGCGAGGAAAACTTGATTCCCTTGGCCCACCCCTCCCCCACCTCCCTTCTCATTTATGAATTCAGCTTTTTTGTCAGACTGAACATTTAAATGCATTCTATGCTCTCTGGATTCCCCGTTACCCACCCCCCCTTTCTCATTAAAATTCTAATTATTACCAGAACAAGTAAGATGTGTGATCAAAGGCAAGCAAAGCCCTAGAAATACCTTTTGTTTTAAGGTGACTCAGAATGCAGAGAATGCACCCTGGACAGCTGTAACTGCGAACAGAGGAAGGGTCTGGTGACGGCCAGTTCTTGGAGAACGACGGGCACGTCGGGGTTGCTTCCCTGGTGAACCTCAGGTGACAAAAAATAGTCTCCAGGCCACTTAGGTGGGGAACTCTTAACACCAAAAATTATTTTGATCTAATACCTTCATGTGTGTTGGCTTGTTGCCTTTAGGCATAGGTATATAGGTCTGATGTCCACAGAGAAGGGGCATTGCAGAGCTGAACTGCCCGGCGGGGGCCTCCACCTGCCACTTACTCTGTGCCCCTGGGCAGTCTGTTTAGCCCTCTGTGCCTCGGTTTCCTCATCAGCAAAATGAGGATAACAATCACACCCGTTCCCCTGGACAGTGTTACATGGCTAAAGCATAAAAAGCAATTTGTGCCTTGGACATGGTAAAGTTCAATAATCGACTAAATCTAATAATGAAATGCTGTCATTTCTGTTACTAACAACCTCTATATTAGATTTTGGTTTCTCACTTTAAGAGGATATATATGCTTATTTGTGTGTGTGTTTAATAGACATGAATGTTTCATAGACACCCACATATTTATATAAAACAACCTCATCTTTCCTCTCTTGTGCCCAGGATGCGTGCACTGGAGAGCTTTAATCTAAAACTTAACTCAGATCGGCCTTCTCCTCCTCAGATAAAGGACTAATGACTAATCCCAGTTCATTTGGTGGGTCTATGTAGGGTCTGGTGGTTGGTCTTGGTGGCTAAGTAAGGAGCCGGGGGTTCTCCATTGGTGAAGGTGGTGTCTGATCAAGGTCAGGACCTCCCTCGGGGAGCTGAACGGCAGTGCTGGCTCCCTGGAGTCGTGGCTGGCATTTTCACCTCCCTCTCAGGGTCCTCTGCATGTGAGTCAGCTTTTTCTGGGGTCTGTGAAGCCTCCGTGGCTTAGATCCCATCATGCAGCAGGTGCTCAGGCCACAGTGGCCCTCCTATGAGCCAATCTTTCATTGCCCTGAGCCAATTCCTTAACCAGGCCGGAGACAGACAGACATACAAAACTTGGGGATCTATGATGAATCAGGGGCAAACAGGCTGGGGCAGTCCAGCTCTGCCCCACCAATCTGTGGCTCCAGGCCAGGCCCTTCTCTGACTCCACTGCTGGCCTTAAGAATTGGGGGACCTTTTCTTAAAACCCAAGACTCTTGAGCAATCCCTGGTGGCACAGTGGGTTAAAGCACAGCACTAAGAA